GTTTACTACCGTTAGAGGGACACACAGCTGGCGAAATGATGTTTGAGTACAGTTGTGTGGGTTTGAAACTGATCATGATCTGCTGCTTACTGGCTTCAAAAAAAATATCTGGCCCAGATAAATTCCTCGGTTTGAAAATCTGGCCCAACTAACTTCGTAGTTGAATAGGCATGGTCTACATCATCGTGCTTGACAGTCGCGATGAGGCATGCTGTGATGTGCTGAGTTTGGATTTAGCCAAATGTGGCATTGCGCATTATAGCCAAATATTTCCATCTTGGTCTCTTGTGTTTAGGTCTTGTGGTTTATTCAGATTCAACTACAAATTTAAACCATGTTGCCATGTTCTTTATAGAGAGAAGAGGCTTTCTCCTGACTACCCTTACAAACAACCTTCTGCAGTTTCTCAGAGCTTTGCGAAACCTGACTTTTAGGATAAATTTGCTGGGATACCCACTCCTGGGAAGTTTGGCAGCTGTCTTGAACTTGTGAATAATCTTTCTCTTCTTTCTCTGTAGATTAATAAACTTTTTTAATGGCCTTCTCCTCCCAAACTGAAGTGCAGCTCATTTCATTGTTGTAACATGCAAATGAAAACTATTTGTATAGACTTGCTGATAATGAATTAATAAAGTGCATTTTATTAGCTGGCTGATATTACCATCATACTCACGTGCAAGCAGTAAGGATGCTTTATTTTTTACAGCACAACTGCTCATGATGACATATTGTTTTGTTAAATAAATAATGAGACCGTGTGATATGTCATATATTGTTGTTCATCTAAGGTTATATTTACTTCATTTTAAGACCTGTTAAGGGCCAGGTCTTTTTAAAACTATTGTTACTTTGAGATCATGCATAAAACTTCACAATATAAAGACGTTGTATTTTCTTTTTACCATGGTTGTATGGTAAACTACAACACATGACCTGCCTGTGTGTTTTATTACGAATACTGGGTTTTGATAGAAGATCAAAATAATAGTTTTCAAATGGACATTTTGAATGACTTTATGTTGACCTTTAGATTTCCTGTAACATCACTGAAATTAATGTTTTCTTTTCCACTCGCATCATTACTCTTATGCTCACATTTAACCTGTGTCTAACGAACTTTTAGTCTCTTAAACAACACATGTGGTTCTCTGTGCTCTGTGCTTCTTTTCTGGGTCCCCCTCCTCTAGTTGGTTCCGTTCGGTCTGGGGCTTGCTTCATTCTCGCCAACCCTTGTGGTCGCTGTTGTCCTGAAATCTCCTGTACAGGAAACAAAACAAAACGCCTCTCTCTGCTACACCTCAATAATCTACTGTGTTCATCTATTGTTCTCTTAATTATTCAAAGTTGGTTCAAAATATCATGTTCTGGGCTCTATCCTTTATATTAACTTTACTTAACCTTTACTTAATCTTAATGTTCCTTATGTGTGTGAGCAACACTTTTCATTTTATTAAACACACCCAGGGTAAGATATACACCATCACCATATCAGCATAAAAACAGACAGAGATGTTCCTCTTTCTATCACATTCTTCCATTATGATTCCTGGAGACTTACAATTTCTTGACTCTACTTC